CCAAAAATTAAAAATCCACTTGTAATGGATTCTTTGTTGCACTTGCATTAACAAGAGGTTGATCCACTATATGATTAACAGAGAGGAGAAAAGTTTCTTTCAGAATTTGTCGTGGACTGACCTTGGCTTTAATGGACATTCAATTTGAACACATTCTAAAAAAGTACTTTAATGAACATTTAGCTGTGAAACACTCAGGGCTCTGCTTGTAATCAGTGAAAGAATGTTAAATGGACAGGGAGTTACATTCTGACTGTCCAATCAGTGATCACCAAGGACACCACAGCCACTAATATTAACAAAAGATCAAAGTTTTCTTTCTAAAAAATTTCTATTCTCAAACCAGTTACAGAAAATTACAGAACATATTTACTGCTCTGTGTGCTTTCAGTTCCACGCACTTGCCCGTCACCATAAGGACACTCTTATTCTCCACTTTATCATGATGGCTTCACAGTCAGAAGGCCTTGAGAAGAATAATGTCTGTTCAGCCTTGCATAAATGAATTCAGCCAACATTTTTCTGCAAAGACAAAAATGGTTTATAAAACTATGTTGATGCCTCAAGTCTTCAATTTTTTAACCTCATTTCCTGACCTGTGTTGTTCATGTAGAAAATAGCAGGCATGAGGTATGCTTTGCTGGATGCTGTCATAATGTCCTCTGGTGAAATCAGGTGGACACTAACCACTTTCATCTGCACAGCATGTTATTTAGACACGTACAGAGCTAATAAAATCATATATTCAGTATCTAAATTCTAATAATAACCAAAAGAGACACATTTTCTCATTGTCACAGTCGGTGTTAAGTGCAGGTGGTAGAGAGGCGTAGGGTGAGTTGGAGAAGGTAGCGAATGTGTTGGTGGTGTCTCAGTTTGTGTGCCTGGTGGCACTGGTAACACAGTCATAGCCACATGATTTTGAATGGAAAGAAAGAAAAGAAATTTTAAAAGATTGAGCTGAAGTACTCAAAGAGTTGTTTAGTTAAGTTAAAAGAAAGAAACGATTCTTCAATTCTGTGCAGAATTTGATTGCAGCATTTGATGCAATCTGATGGTTATTTTATGACTTATCAGGCTTATGATGAAAACAAATAAGATTTCTTTTAGTTTTATTTTCTGGAAAAGTGAAACAGACGTCAAATCTGTTGCAACCTGACACGACCCTCTGAGTTTTAGGCGTCCTGTAGTCCTCCACAGTCATGTGACATGAACATCACCTATGTGCTCTGAGGCTTTGTGAATACAACGATGAGCTATCTTTGTGTGCTCAGTAGTTAGATATTAATTGAGTAGTGAGTGAAAGTCTGAAAAGAAGAGCTTGAAAATGTTTGAGATTTAACATGTAATTTATCGGTAAAAAGGGAACTGCTTATGGATTAATTGCAGTTCATGTTCTCAATATACCAGAGCCGAACTGAATGCTTATGACATGGTAGATATATATTCTAAATCATTATTTGAAACCACACAGCCTTTCTTTCCAAATTGTGTGAACTATTGGAAGACACAAATGCCACAGCAACAAGACTGTGTGCACAGCTAAATGGTTTTTATTTACAATGTATTTATTTGAGTTGCTATGTGCTTTACACTTTTTCCCCCCTTCCAATGAACAAAGTGGTGTTTTTTTTCCACACACACAAAAAAGAAATTAAATGCAAAGAGATTAATATGGAAAATTATATTATAAAAGGTTCCACAATATACAATATATAAGTAATGTCTTTATATATACACAGCACAGTGTTATTAGTGTTGTTTTTGTGTATGTATGTGTGGATTTCATGAACATAAGGTGGAGCATTGGTACAGATTTGGATGACTTGCTGTAAGATTGTGAAATATGGCATAAACCTTGGTGGGCTTAGGGGTTTAAAAATGACCTTGCAGCTGTCATTTATTTTATTTTTTGTGTCGTTTCTCTTTGTCATCATTTCCACGTGTCATTACATGTGCTCCTTTACTGTTTCCTTTCAGAGGTTTCAGTCTATTGGTGACATTTGGTACGATGACTGAGATAAGACCAGTGATTTCTTACAGATACACCCCATGATGAATATTTTATTGACGCTATAGAGGTATAAATAAAATGACAGCTCTGGTACAACTGAAAATCTTTACAGCGCTGAAAGGTAGATTACACTACCTCTTCTGAGATTTAAAAAAAAACACGCAGCTAGATAAGAGAGTGTCCACTTCAACCTCCGACTGGGAGCAGATATCTTTCTTCATGTGAGCTCAATAATTGCTACTTATAAAGAAGCACTAAAGAATATCCACAAAATTTACATTTTAGTCATTACGTATACAGAGAGTTTTAGTCACAAAGCTGCAGTTTGATACTTGGTATCTTTGACAGAACACAGGAAGGTAATGTAGGTTTAGTTATATTTTCTACTTGGTCCTAATGCAAGTGTAATTTCAAAAAACAGCAAAAGACATAAAACACTTTAATTAAAAACTAAATAAAGACAAACGCAAAATCGGAAAGCCAGGATTCTTGAAGAATACGTGAAAATGAGAATAATTTCCTTGAATATTTGTAGATTCTGATATAAATGAATGTTGAAAGAATAAAAACATCACTTTAAAGCTCTTTCCTTTACTTCTTCTCTCTGCCTCTGTCATCGCATGAGGCCATGTCCCAACTGTATTCCCAAACACAAACACACTCACACACATCCCTCTGTGTGTCAAAAGATGTGATGGATTACAACAATCAAACAATATTTCATGAGTCCCAGCTGGCTGCGAGAAGCCAGAGCCATTTAAATTTGTAGGAGAGAACTGCGCTCGTTGTCTATTTTTGTCCCCTCTGTCTTCCACTCTCCTCTGCAATGAGTCACGCTCTGTTCTCAAACCTACTGTGACACGCTCTTATCTGAAGGAGCACAAACACGCGGGAAGGTCTGTCGATTAATATCTTGGAAGGCATTAGTTTATGCTGTTCTTTAGAATAATAACACATAATCCTCAAGAAGTCTGCGCTTCTCTCTTCTGTCATCCCAGGCAGACAGCTCTTCACATTCTCCAAATCCAGGAACAACTTTCATACAGCTGAACCTTGCACGATTTCTGTATCTTTCATCTCCTTTTATGGGTTCAGTGAAGTCCGCAATCGCCAGTTTTATCTCCTTTAGATTAATGGTAAATTAGGATAATTCTAGCTTAAGCTCACCCCTGCCCAGTTGTTTTCTTTTTTCGTTTTTCTTTTTTGGATGTCTGTCATAGCAGGTCTGGAGCAAAACAGCATAATACCAATAGTAATAGTAACCATATGAGAATACTTATGTATAAGTATCAAAAATAGCAAATCCTGCAGTGATTTATTTCATTGTTATTCTTTAATGGAAATGTTAACAATGAAGTTTTGTGTTTCCTCTGGAATGCATGGGTCATCATTGTTTTTCTACATATGCAAACATGGAAAGCATGAAGGACCTAAACAGCTTGTATAATAGAATAAATTAAAAATGACCTCTGTACATTATTTTCCTCAGTCGCTATTTGGCAACAGTGTTGCTGCTGTGCTTACTGCTGTGTACTGCTTATTGCTAACTGACAGTTGACCATTAAGAGCCGAACACCTGAACAAGAACCTTTGTCCTCATGCAAACAGTTGCATGGCAGATTTCAGCCTTTCCAAAACAGGCCCATTGAATCCAGCCAGATATCATTTAATAGAGCCAAGAATACAAGGCAATTAACTGTAAATGAAAGGTAATTGATTTGCGGTGCCAAATGTACTGTAAAACAAGCCTGCTTTGTGTTGACAGCCTAATGAGGACAACATTGCATCGTTACTGGATATGTATGCGCGTTAGCTCGATAGGGGGAATCTGTTTAATTTAGTGTGTTTAGTGCCCAGTTGGTGGAAGGTTTAAACGAGAGACTGCTCAGGTCACAAACTAATTTTGAAGCCAGATAGGGAACAGATGTATGGTGTAAACTTTTTGCTATGCTATGAGAAGAAGAAGTAATAATTTTTTATTGATTAGATCAAATAAGAAAATAACTGATTTCTGATTTTTCTAATACCCGCAGCTGATATCTGCAATGCATAGACGTGACCAGCAGCATCTGAGCATGTGACGCAGCTCATTCCTGATCTTTAAACTTGTGAAAAGAGCATGCAAAGGCTAGCAGCTTTAACTATTTAAGAAGTATTTCATGACTCTTCTTTCATCCGTCCATGAGCTGTATCAGTTTAATATGTGGTTTAAGTTTATCCCTAAATGACTTCTATTATTGTGGTATATGCTGAAGAAGGCACCGGTTATAACAGGGCAATTTCCCATCTGATTCTGGCTATAAGGTGCAATCAGACAAACCTCTGACTCTGCTCATTAAAATCAAAAACCTTGCCTTATTTTGACTTTCAAGGTCTTTGTGAATTTCTGATTTCCAGTGCTGCTGTTATTTTTAGATTGCTCCATGGAAGCCCTGTTCTGACCACTCACACGTGCAGTTTTATGAAATTCTATGATTGCACCACTTATTTTGCTCCAGCTAATACTGCAAATGCTGCTGTTCCCAGCAAGGGCATCTGACATGCATGAGACTCCAGACAATGCACCGCAGTGTTTTATTGTGTTATATTTGATACCGTGTCGATCCTGACAGCTGATCCATGGGGTTTATGTTTTGACATGTGATGTAAACTTGTGTTGCCATGCATTCATTTTGTCTGTATTTTATACATAAGATCACCTTCAAATGTGATGTGGCTTATAAGAATGTGATTTGGTCCTTGTTACAGGCAGTCCAGTCCTGAAATGGCCCTTAAGGTGTAAATTGTTCATTTCACAAGTGTTGTTGAGACATTTACTCCAAGGTTTTGGTTCTCAAACGTTCAAACCACAACCTAGTGACTCCGTATCGTCTCTCTTTTTAGGCTAATATTTTTTGTGGACATTTGTGTAGCTTAAACGCAATATTCTTTTTCATCGATTGTTCCTGTTGTTTTTCTTTCTTTCTTTTTGTACATATCCGTCTAGACAAGAGTGCACTATCGCTGCCCTTGCTTTCCTCAGCCTCCGCTCTCAGAGACCATGCAGCTTTCTTCCAGTCAGAAACTATGCGGCCGGCAAATGACCCAAAAGAGCGTGACCCCTCCCACGTGCGGATGCTGAATGATGTACTCCGTGACCTGGAGAAGAGCTTCATCATCCCACAGACACCGCCTGGAGTGTACAGGTAGGAGAAGAGTTATTGCTTCAGAGTTGCAACATTGGTTTAAGGAGGTCTAAGAATTCCATTTACTGTTAGCCAGTGCACCCCCAGGATACTGATGCTTTCAGTTTCAAAACCTGCAAGATTATGTTACATAATTAAATCTCCACAATCTTGAATATATTTTAATTAATTGTTTGACATTAGAAGTTTCATCTTATATACATGTGGCTGTTTTCTCTGTGTTTTTATGGGTCACCAGTTCATTTCTTTGCCTTTTTACATTGTTAAAGTTTATTATTTATTCCACATGGCGTTAAAAGGTCTTAAATCTAAGCTAAGCAAACTTGGAGATGACTGGAACAACATTCTTCTCAGAAATCTTTTCCACCTTTGGCTCACTCACAGTTGCCTCCTCCTCATCACCGATGGCACAGTTGGTCCTCCTACCTCCTTGTTAGCGTGGTTCAGTTTACATGTTCTCACATACCTACTCAGCTCCCCAGATACAGCCAAGCCATTGCATTTGCTGTGCGCTCCAGCATCACATACCATTTATCAATGATACTAGATGGCATTTTCTCATTAAAAAGAAAGTTGTGTGTGATAAAGTTTCCCTATTGATGAAGTTTTTGCAAACTGGAATTTTTGAATAGTTAGAAATATGCGTATTTGTTGACTGGCAGTGTTCTTTGTTCACAAAAAATGTCCTTGAGGTCTTTGCGTAGCATTTTTGCCAGCTGTTATCAGTCGACTCCACTAGTAGGAATATGTGGTTTGCACATTTGTTGGTTTAGAAGATGATAAAAAAAAAAAAAACTGGTTAAACACTGCTGTAAGGCATCATTAGTGGTCAAAAATTCCACAGGGATGAAAATGAAGGAAACTACTTGAGCAAAGCTCATGTGAGCAATACTCGAAACAAGTTTATTGTGTTCTATTCTGAAATGAAAGTGTTTCTTTTACACATCCTTTTCCAAAATGTGCCTCCCTGTTTGTCTGCATGTGCCTTCTGTCACCCTCTTTTAGTTGTTGGAAGTTGGGTTTCTGCTGGATCGCCTGCATTTTTGATTTTTCCTTTGTTTTTTATGAAAACTTTATGGCGTGAGCAGAAATGTTGATTCTGTATTAACAAGTTGACTTTTTTATTAAAGATGATCAAGTGAGCAATCAAATGCTCTGCCCTCCATCACTGGTAGGTGCAGCCAAATTGTGAACTCAACTAAACATAAGTGGTCACTAAAACCATAAAGTCCATATGACAGAGTGCATAAAATTCACACGCAGAACCAAAAAAATACAGTGTACAAATATTGTATTGACATCACTTTGGTACATCCAACCAAGGATGTCTAATTAAATTCCTGCCATTTTGACTCCTCTCATTGTGTCTCTTTTTTCTGACTGGACGTTTAAGTTTTGTCACTCCATTAATTTATTTGTTTAAAAGTTTTTTTTCTCAACCACTAGCTAGCAACCACTATCATCACAGCACAAGGCCTGATGAACACAGAAGTATGTTCACTACTAAGAGGCGGCGTTAAATCTAATCCACTCCAGTCCAATCTTTTGTTGCCATATCAACTCCTTCTTACATAACGCATTTCGATGTCCCAAAGAGGAAGGTAAACGAGCATCTGTGAAAGTGTTCTGTATTTACTTTGTTTAGGAATCCCTCAGCGGATCTTATTTGTTCTCATTCGATCGGTCTTGAATGATCTGAACTTGAATTCATATGTTTAATAACATACAGAGAATCAGGCAGTCACATTGCTTGGTATATATACCCTGGAGTTATTTAAATTCATGACTTCATTTGAAAAGGTCTTCTGGTGAGCTGTCATTAAGCAGATAATTAGAGAGGCCTTTATTAAATGTCACCTGTTTAGCGTGCAGAACTCTTCATTGTGCGAGTGTGATCATGAGAAATATTCCCAAAACTGTACACATTGATTGTAGTGGTGGCCCAGTGCAGCTGAATGGAAGTGGTTCAATCACTAGCTTATTCAGAAAATCCTGGCAGGCAAAGAACAAGCTTGTAGGTTACACCTGTTTGAACACAATGGCCTGTAGCCTGCATAGCAATGACTCATCTAAACAGTTCCCACTATGCCTGGGAAACATTTGGAACACGTGGCAACTCCGGAGGCCAAATCCAGGAATTCAAATTTGCTGATGAATAGAGCAGCGACAGTAAGGGATTACAGGAAAGATACTTTATCACGGATAGTCTAATCTCATTTCATTTTGGATAAGAGAGACCCTGTCAGCATTTGTAATACTGTAACACACACAGGTTCTTCAAATTAGCATCCTTTTGCTTTGATACCTTTGTAAGTAGGTAAGTCAGCTGTGCACTATGTTTGTTCTCTGAACAGCTTCATGTTTCAGCACCTGAAGCTTTTTACATAATCTTGTATTAACTACTTATTGACAGATTTTCAGTATTGGATTGTTTTTCAGCATTTTGGTCATAAAGTTCTGATTTCTGTCTCTCCTAACATTTGATGTTATTGTTGCTGCTTCTGTAACTCTGGTAAGCATTAAATGTGGTTCTTTTTCTGAAGCTGGTAAGACTAACTTGTCCTCTGCAGCAGAAAACCTCTTATAGGAGCTGGTGCAGTTATACAAACCACCAAATTACTTTTGGATTAGCTAACCTTAATGTCTTTTCCGTCTTAACGTACATTATTCTTTTGTTTTTTGTGTTTTGTTTTTTAAATAGCAGACAAAATGTTATTACATTAAAGAACTTTATATACTAAAAAATCCTAACATAAGTAGTCTCAGCAGAGCTTCACAATATTACAGAGGTAACCCAACAAACACCTTTGAGGAAGAACTTTGCAAAAGTGGGGAAAGAATTTCAACAGGACGAAAAAAAAGTAAAAGAAAAGAAAAAGAAATGAAGTGAGGCCATGTACGTGGAATGGTTAGGGTGAGAGAGGAGCCAGGAGACAACAGACAATAAAAAGTGAGCAGGTTGGTGCGGTCAGTAACTACAGGTCAGAAAACGTCAGCCACAGAGCCAAAGGTGCATGCAGAAATGTGCAGGGAGAGGGCAAAGTAGAACAAGTACAGTCTAGTGGAGAGAAAACAAGTTCTCACTGATAGTCACATACAAAATATAAATATAAAGTAAAGAAGAGGATGTCAGTTTGCTGGGTAACAACACCACGTCTGCAAAGCAAAATTAGTCTTAAACATTTTTACTAGGCAAGAAATTCAATGAATTAACTTTTGACCACTCTCACATTTTAACTAAAAAAGATTCCCTGTGACTCCTGGAAGCTGTTTTTGTGTGAAAACTTTACTTACTATCCCATATGTGTTGCTTCACTGTTTGGATTCCTTTTTCTTCTAAACTATAGAAAACTGTAGTAATGTATTTTTTTTTCCATCCCTCTCAATCCAACCAGTTGGCTGAACTCGAACTTTTGTCCTCTTGAAGTTGTAACTCAGTCCAAAATTAGAAGACACAAGGAGCACATAGGTGCAGGTACACTCGTTAACACCCTTCTACTGGTGGTGGGATTTCCAATGCTCATCAAGGATAACTACTCCGTAAACCGAGGGGTTTTTTTTGGTTTGTTTTTAGTGCTTTAAGTGTCTCTTTTTATATCTGCTTCACAAGTAGCTTCTGTATGAGTTGTAGGTTTTATTTTGCAGTTTTAGGTATAATAATCCTCACTAACTTTTCGTCAATCCTCACTAGATTGGTTGTGCAGTGCAGGATAAAAATTGACTCATGTACCTATGCTATTTGTTTATTTATTCATCATGATTCAATACTGCAGTCGATAGCAGCTGAGGAGCTGAAGCTAGTTACGGATTCAAAAGTCCATTCAAATGGCCAAGAGACCTCTTTTAACTTCAAACGAAGTTCATTTTCATTTAGACCTCCTCTGATAATATGAAAGGAAACTACAATGTTGTATTAGAAACACACAAATGCATCATCTAAACTGGACCACACATTTAAACAACTTCTTAATAAGGCACATACCTTCTCCTGGAAAAGTTTGAATATAATAAATCTGAAAAGTATGTGAAGTCAACAAGTTCTTATAACTTCGCCAGTAGTGTTGGCACAAACCTGAATTTGAACTGCACAAGCCTCTTCATGCACAAGATAACGTTACAGATAAATCATTCACGGATGGATACAAGTACCTAACTTGGTACATACACTTTATACAAAATTGAAAATCAAAATAATTATCCTTTCCATGATTTATGTCAACAAAGCCAAGAAAATCATTTTTCCCCAGATAAAATAAATTGGACTTGTCTCCTTTAATGATCTTAGTATCAAATCATGCATGTTAAACCATGGAGAAGTTGACTTTTGTTGGCTTGTTTCTTTGTTCGATTAATTTGAAAGCATGGGAGTAGCGTGTTTTGGTTCCATCAGGGTGCTGGGTCTTTTCACCCAGCATCCTGAGCTAATTGTATATTATCTTGGTATCATGATGATTTAGATCCTGTTTAAACACAGTTTAGCCGTGTATTATATTCTGATATATTTGAGTTTTGTGGTTTGCCTTCATTATGATTTATTCCCTGAGGTTGTGTGTTTGTCTCACTCCCGTGTCGCCCATGTGAGTCTGTCATGTCTTCAGTGTTAAGTTCACCTCCCCGTGTTTATGTGTATCTCTCTGGCCTCTCTGTGTGTCTTAGGTCTGCATCTTTATGTTTCCTGTTTTATTGTGACAGTCTCGTGTTCCGTGTTCAATGTGTTTAATTTTGCTTCCCATCTTCATCTTCATTTGTATCAGCTATGTTCCCCGTGTGTTTCCACTCCCCTCGTCTCCTCTCTGTGTATTTAGCGTGTCAGTTTTCTGTTTATTCGTTGTCAGGTTGTCTGTTATGCTCACGCCACGTCTCCGGGTTTCCTCGTATCCACCCCAGGTTTTCATGTTTAAAGTTGTCACATATATTTTCTAGTTTTCCCACTTTGGGTTTAGTTTAGTGTCGAATTGTTTTGCCTCGCCCTTTGTTTTGTAGTCTTTATCAGCCACAAT